CTTGACCCTAAGCTGGAATTTGAATGTGGAGAGCTGGAAAGCAGACCTTATTTGCTGTCCTCCAGCTCTGCACCGTTCTTCTCTTTACCCCTTCCCCCCAACTATTCGTTGCATCCAAAAGACTCAGGCCCTTCCTTTCCTTTATACTCTTATTTATGAAAGTATTTCCCCCCATTTTGGGGGAAAGAATGTCTTCTCTCTACCATGAGGAAGGTTCATGTGAAAAGGAGATGCTAAATGGGCCCCAGGCCACCCTCTTTTCGTGCTGGGCCTGGAGTCAAGTCCTACTTGATTATCTGTTAAAGAGGCCAAATCCTCTCCCTCTAGTGCTTAAGGAGAGAAACCTCCTGATTTTATAAGGAGGAAAGCAGTGAGGGAAAAACTGATATATGCAACTGTATGTATCAGCTGATTATTAATCCTTCATCCCCCATCTGAGGGCCTGTTTTACATTCTCTTTCCTCCCACCCTCATTGGCATGTGAGAATGGGGCAGCTGTACCATACCGGGAGCAGAGTAGGAGGATCTGGCAAGGGTTTGAGGGCTGCCTTCCCACCCAAGGGACCTTCCTAACTCAGAAACCCAGCTTTGGAATCCAGGAAAGGCAGAACACTCACTGGTCCTCTCACTCATCCTTCTCCCTGGTGGATCCAAGGGACTTTCTATTTCAAATAATAGAAACCTCAACTCAAATCTATTAAACTAAGGTGAGAATTGTTGACTCACATCACCAAAGAGTCTGGTTTTCCAGTTTGGGTTCTAGTTTGAGGACTTGCTGAGTCTAGGGGCTCACCCAGCTCCATGAAGCAACCCATGGAGGTGCCAGCTTCTCTCGACTTCCCCTGGAGTAAGGCCAGTGCGAGAAAAAGGCCACCAATCCTGGGAAACCACATGGGACATGCTGAAGGTAAATAAGTCTCTGGTTAGCTTGGGACAGGGAGTGGCAGGAGAGTTTGGGTCCCAGCATTTGAGGGAATGGTTCAGTGTTAAAACTAGGGCAACCCTAAGCAACTGGGACAGTTGGTCACCTTGGCCTGAAATGATATCTGCTTCTTATTTCTCCACATTTTTACCAGACTCTGTCACTGTCCTCTTTTCTCCACTTAACCTGTTCTTGGATCTAATGTAGGAAACCTGAATTTGCTTTTGCCAAGCACTGGCCCTCAGACTTTTGTGGAGAAGGGCTTTTGGGACTGCTGTTGAGATTCCTGGTTCCAGAGCTGTGTCTGTGCTGCTTTATCCTCATGGAGATATTTAATAAAGCCCCCTTAATAAAGCCATGTCAGATGAACTCATGTGTAGTGCATCTGCCTCCACAGAGAGGATGGCCCTTCCCACCACTCCCTTACCCCTTCCTCCAAACTGTTCCTCCCTCTGCTCCCTTGCTGGTTGAGTGGACAGCACCACCTCCCATCCAGGTCCCTGAGCCTGAAACCCCCAGAACCATGCAGGGCCCCCGCAGTGCCCTTTACAGCCCATCTTTTGGTCAGCAGTCCTGCTGGTGCCTTCTCAGCCTCTATGGGATTAGTCCCTTTGCTTCACACAGCAATGCTGTCATTCACCAACTATTTTCCTGCCTTCCCAAGCCCCATCCTCCCTACTGCAGGGAGGGGTGGCTCTTTCTAAGATATTTCTAAGATAATAGGATGATATCCTCTAAGGCTCTTGCTGAATGCCCAAGCTTTTCACTGAAACTTTGCATATACACCCGCACCCCAAATGCCCTGAGCAGAGCACCGATGGCAAGTGTCTGTTACCCTATGACCCTTCTTTGCCCTGATGGTACAGCAACAATCCTGGCTGATCACAACACACAGGATACCTGAGCACCTTTCCTCCCATCCTCCAACTGCCCACCCCTGTGGGTCAGAGTGGTACCAAGGCCATATCTATTTGGCCTATTCCTAACCTCTTCCTCTTCTGGCTAATCCTTAAATTGTCCTTTAGGTCTCAGCTCAGGAGGCTCCATGTCACCTCTGCCAGGAAGTCTTCCCTGATTTGCTGTTCCTCTTAATCTGCTTTCAGTCACACCCTGTGTATAATATATCTATAGCTATATATCTCAAAACATTTCTTATGCAGCATTTTAATAATGTACTTGCCTGTCACACTAAAATGTGACCTTTTGAAGGGGCATGAAATGTCTCAGTAATCTTCATATTTCCAGGACCTAGCACAGAGCCTGGTAGTATACAATAGATGTTCAGAACTCTTGAATGGGTACACCAATGAATGAATGACTGGGTGATTGAATGAATGAATAACCTGGTCAGGCCAGGTTATTCTGAAGGTGAATGAATCAGAAATTTATTAAGCCTCTTTGAAAAAGAAAATCAATTTGCTTCTCCCTTCCCCGGAGTTGCAAGAGAAGGTCATACTTAACTTCTCAGCGACTTGCCAGGAGATGAAGCCGAACCTGTTTGTTTCAGTCAGTGAGGCTAGAGAGCAAGCAGTTGCCTCACCTTCCCACAAGGAGCAGCGTGAGTCATATGTGCCCTCACCTTTCACAGGGCACAGATCTAGGCCACCCTGGATCCTTCAGCTTGTTCTCCTGGGACCTAAATTTCTTTCTAACGTGTGTGTATGCATGTGTGTGTGCCCCTGCATATGCACATGTGTTTATATGTGTACTTATGCATGTGTACAAGCCACCTAGTTATATATGAGTGCCCCTAGATGCATTCAGCAGGGGATGATCAATAGTTTCCCTCAGCTTCTCTTGGGGCCATGTGCTTGGTTTCATGCTGGAAGGGAGTCTTCATGGTGAACTGTAGCAGCTACTAGCCTGATCTTTGGTACTTTGGATCCATTTCTCTTTTTATTTAAAAAAGCCAGTTGGAGATTGAAAATTCTAATTCAAAAAGATGTTATTTTCTAGAATGCCAGAGGAAAGGGGCAGTCAGCCTCTTGAGTGTATGTTGCGATATTAAACACTTTTGCGTAGGTCCTCAAGGCACTACAGAATGGTCTTTGCCTTTGATTCAGGCCAAGTTTCTGCTTTCCCCACGAAGGGTCCTCTTCTCACTGCAGAGTTGTTGTTCCAGAGGTCTCTAGAAAGGCCATCTCTGCCCAGAAATGTTCTGCAAGGAGCAGAAAAGCCTTTGGAGGCAGCAGAATGCATAGGAGATGTAGCAATGCTGGGAGACACGTGACACTGGGGAACATGGTGACATCAGAGGACACAGTGACAATAGAGAACATTGATAATGGGAACATGGTGACATTGGGAACTGGGGGACACAGTCACCCCTCATTCCCCTCTCAGTGCCTCGGTAAGGGCCAGGAAGGACGCACATTATTGCAAGTGAAAATGGAAATCAAGTGGGAAGAAAGGTTAGGACTGCAGGAGGACACGCCTGGGTAACTGCGTCTGGCCGCTTCAGGGATGCTAGTGGGAGGTCTAGGAAAGCAGCTTAAAGGGATTAGTCGGGAGGGAGGAGTTTGAAGAAGCTAATTATAAAGTTCGTAGCAGAGATGAGAGAGGATTATAAGACCTCTTTGTGCACCATGCTTTTGAAAATGAGAGAAGAGTTCTTTCTCCTGAGATGAATGTGGATAAGATAGAGAGCAAAGGTAAGGAAGGGAGATGGGGGCTCCTGAGCCATAAATGGGACTCATGGCTACAGCAGGGAAGACCACGTTTCCTTGCAGTGTGCACATTTATGAGGGTCCTGCAGTGGTCTGAACCATGTGGGAGTGGGAAAGACTCCTCACCTGACTGTAATTCACCAAGTGTCAGTTTACTGACAGGATTAAGCATTGTTAGGAGGATCTGTGAAATATTTGTGTTAGTAATCAGTGTGTATTTCCTGGATTCCTGATCTATACTGAGATGGAGCATGGGGCTCGGAGCCCCAGGGAGTACAGACTTGCATCCCAGCCTTGGGGTACTTGGCCAAGAAGGATACAGTCCCAGGATATAGGAAATGTTGGGGAAGTTGTACTGAAAATGGGGTTGCCCCAGACTGGAGGGTTGAGGCAGGCTCCACAAAGGAGGGACTCCAAGGCAGGGTGCAGAAGGATGAGAAGTGCCATGCAGGCAGAGTCTGGGAGCCAGGAGGCTGGGTGGGAGTGAAGAACTCCTGTGGGAAAGAAGCAGGAGCTGAGGCTCAAGAGGGCAACCAGAAGGAAGCCTGAGGGACCCTCAAATTGCAGGGTAACAAGCCTGAGCTTCTTCTGCAGACACTGGGGAACCATATGAAGGGTTTGGAGCACAGGAAATGCCCAGGTAAAGCTGGGTTTCAGGACAACTTGGCCAGCAGGTACACAGAACAGAGCATGGTAATGACAGGGAGTTCCTGTAGGAGGCTTTTGCAAACTCCCGGCAAGACAGTGGGGTTTCCCTAAGTGGGAATGGAAACAAACAGTTGGATGAAAGGGCTCAACCCTATCAAGACTAGGCTAAGCCCCCTAGCAGTGGGCCGGGGTATTCTCCCAGAGGGTCCATCATGCATCTTCCAAAGACCTTGGAGGGATGAGAGGAAGGAGACATTCTTTTTACTTTAAAGCAAACATCACCATATAATAATGAGAAGACATGGTGGTATCCTCTTTGGGTTACAAGTCTCCTTGTCTATACTCCTGTCCCTGAGGGGTTTGGGGCCAAGGGATTCAGCTCACCTGGCACCAGAAGACACGAATCCAGAGAGCTGAGAGTTCCCCTGGGTTACAGATGAGAACTTGCACTATGCAGAGTGAATATGGCTGCATGTTACAGGTGGGATCCACCAAGACACAGATTATGTCACTAACCTCCTGGATCACACAGATAGTAAGTGGGCAGTTGGGATTCAAATTCATATCTGTCTGGTGCCAGACCTTTGGCCTTTCTTCTATTCCACCAAAAGGGATTAGCTAGCTTCCACAAAGCTGAGTGGTACAAACTTGGGATGGTCTAGAAGTATCTCTGTAACAAAGGGGAGAGAGGAAAGGCAAATTCCCCTGGGTTGCTCTCTGATTCTCCTCCTCTGATCCACTCCAGCTGCCTGGGCCTTTCCACCATGAACAGCACCTTAAGGGATGCCCAGACCCTGAGACACCGTGAGTGCTTCCTGCCTTCCATGGCCCGGACTCCCTCTGTCACCCAGGTCACGCCAGCCAAGAAGATAACCTTCCTCAAGCGAGGGGATCCCCAATTTGCTGGGGTTCGCTTGGCTGTTGACCAACGAGCTTTCAAGAGCTTTGGTGCTCTAATGGACGAGCTTTCTCAGCGTGTGCCTCTCTCCTTTGGGGTGCGCTCTGTCACCACACCCCGTGGCCTGCATGGCCTCAGTGCCCTGGAACAGCTGGAAGATGGTGGTTGCTACCTCTGCTCTGATAAGAAGCCCCCCAAAACACCCAGTAGGCCAGGTTGGTCACAATGGAGAAGTCCATCTACTCAGCAATCAAGGGATCTTGAAAGCTGGTGTGAAGCACCAGGAACATCCTCTTCCTGCAAGGGTCCTAAAGCCCCAAGGAAGATAATGCTGGTTAAGAATGGAGACCCTAGATTCCAGCAGACTCTGGTTCTCAGCCATAGAAATACAAGAAACATGACAGCCTTTCTCAGCAAAGCCTCAGATCTTTTGCACTTTCCTGTGAAGCAGGTGTACACGACGAGTGGGAAAAAGGTAGGTTGTTGAGGTATGCTATTTCCTTTAAAAAGCTCTCTGGACCTCAAATCAAAATACTTAAATGGAATGGGGAGGTTATTCCTTGAAAAGAGACACTGATTGCATTGCTACTGATTAAAGGTAAATTAAAGGAGTGGAGACAGGCAGTCAGTTAAACAAGCAATTATTATTTGCATTTTGGTTACCATTTAGTGAGTGCTTAGTGAGTGCCAGACACGGTGCCTTGAACATTTTTATTATTTTCGTATCCAATTCTTCTATTATCCAATATCACCTATTTCAGGAAGAGTTCAGTGTGAAAAACAAAAGCTCCTCAAAGTACCTTGAGCAGAAAGTAATCTAATGCAGAATATTATGGGATTCCCAAAATTTGGACAGCTGGAGGCATGAGCTCTAAGCTGGATCTACAGGAATACCTCCCAGCATAGTGCAGGAAGCTACTACCCTGCTTGAAGCTACTGTGATTATTGGTTCAAGGATACTTCTCTGAAGTGGTATCCAAGCTTATAAAGCTGGGACCAGGAAACTGCCACAGCTGCATCTTGGCACTCTTGACACGCAGGAGCACTGGGGTTCCGGGACTAGCCTGCTGCCTGGGCTGCTATGGCCTCCTGGTACCCACACATTTCCTTCACAGCAACAACAATCAGAATCAAGAAGAGATGGTGTCTGCCCTCCTTGCTTTCCCAGACTTGATCAAGTGCATCTAATTGATGGAGAACCCAATCTGCATACAGCCTGAACTGTGGAGAAGGCTAGTGAATATAACTTTTGCCTTTTCAGCTCCTGCAGAACATGAATGTATACCATAGGTGCACAGGATGGAGGATGGAGGTGGCTTGATCTAATCAACAGTTTCCCGGTAATCTAATCCTATCGCTACTTAACACCTGCATACACTATTTTACCACTGCTTAAATTTACAAGCAGCAGCTACAGCAGCATATTCCCACCTAAGTATGTAGCTACCTTTCCTACAATCAAAATACATTTGCCTTATCCCCAGAGTCACATCAGCACTGTACCATCCATCCTCTGGGCACAAGCCCACCTTTGTAGTCTCTGTCCTAAGATTTAACTGTCAAGTCACTAAAATACCTTATAAAAAGTGCTAGAGGGAGGCAAGGGCAAAACATAGAATATTGATTTATGCTTAGCAGAGTTGTGAAGAAAACTAGGTTACCTACTGCAAGGCCATTGATGGTACTAGGTTTCCTACTGTCCATTTTATGTTCCCTCTGCCCTCTGCCAACACCTCAGCTGAATATGGTTATAGCTATGGTAGAGTGGCTGTGGACCATTTCCATCATCTAAATTATAGTGCATTTACAATGTGCTAGCATGTGCTACATCATTCCTGCAGACTCTGAGCCCTTGGGGGTCCTTCCTGAGTTGTTGTATTCTTGTGTTAATTTTTACCACTGAATATGGCAGCCACAGAAATCACCCAACAGATTCCCTGGGCTATAGATTACTTTTTCCCTGACCCTATTTACGTAATAGCATCCTATTCCCCCTAACCAAGTTTGAATAGGATCCAAACTCTCATTCTGAGAGACCCGTTACAGACCCATTCAACACAGAACCCCCTTTGTTGCCTCTTGGTTCATATAGCCAAGGGACTGTCTAAACTTTCAACTTCAATGACCCCCTGTTGTGTCTCCTGGTGGGGACATTTTCCCTTGGACCCAGAGTCCTCCAAACTAGCAGAGCCTGAAGTTGTTGGGGTGGGAAGCAAAATGTCTGTAGCTAGGTCATAGGTGTAATAGTGAGAGGAGCTGTTCTCATTCCCACCCTTTAATTCCCAGGTATCTGTTGTCTGTGCAGAAACAGCACTATACTCTAGAGTGGTTGCCAGTCCAGAGCACATATCACATCTTGCAAGATAATGCCTCAACATTATAAATTGATTCCTTTGAGCTGGTGCCCATAGGATGATCCACTGTTCTATAAGTTATAGTTACTTTTGGGTGATGGGGATATGGCTACACAGTGAACTCCATGGGTGTTTGTGCATTGCCTCACTCCTTTTGCTATGAAATCAGTTCTTTGGATAAAAGTAATTCTCATGGATTATGGCAATGATGAATGAGGTATTCAGTAAGTCCACAGATGGTGATACTGGAAGAAGGATTTGGGCAAGGAAGGAAATATATATTCAAAATTAGTGTCTATTCCAGTGAATCCACATTTCTTACTCTCCCCCTGATGGAGGGGTTCAATGACCATCATTGGCTGCCATGATAGACCTTTCTAATGAGAATGAGAGCTGCAAGGACTATGAAGGCTGGCTTCTCTGACCTAAAGAAATGAGATGAAATGACTCATGAGTTGGATGTCTGAGCACCTCAAGGTATGCGGCAAATCTCAAGTGTTTGGGCCCAAGTTTAGCATGGATTTCTGCTCTTGGAAGATTGGACTCTCAGCAGACATGGCATCAGACCCACATGAATAAGGTACTTTACATTCCTAGTTCATGTTTACTTTGCCACTCTGCTCATGAACCAACTGAGCACCCCTTGAGGTGGTTGAAGGAAAAGAATGACTAATAGCCATTAAAATAGGTCATTTGTCCACATGATTATCACCTTCTGGTGGGAATTCCATGGGACACAAATGTTCTTATTCTCCAGGCACATTCTGGGAGACCCATTTAGATTTTTCTCTAGAGTTCCTTGTCACCAACCCTCCAGTCTTGTTCCATCCAAGGCCCTGATTGTCAGTTTGAAATGCTAGCCACTGCCTATGAATTGCCATAGGACTTTCTGCCATTGCTCCTTACATGAAAAGTAGCCAATCAAATCACACTGTGTCTTGTACTTTCCTTCCTCACTGCCCTTCATGGCCCCCCAAGTAGGTCTGTAATGGTGTAACAATCAACTTTTGACTTGTGTCAGCATATCCTGTGAAATCATCTGAAACCCAAAATCAAATATTTTCTTCTTCAGTTAAGTGGTCATAGGGAACTCCTCCAGGAAGTTGTAAATGGGAGGGCAGGAGAGGTGGCAATGCAGCAGAAGCAGGTGAAATGGGAGTGTGACTCATGAAAATTACTTATGCCTTCCGTTCAAATGTTTGGAGCCTGATCTAGTCCATGTCACCACCTCCTGATGATGGGGTGCTGCTTTGACACACTTGCTTTATGGCTTGATGGATCACAAAACAATCATTTCAGTTTTATTTCAACAACTAGAAGAATCTGTTTCTGCATCTGATGTTTGGCAACAATAGAAAAGACATTCTTTTATAGTAGTAATGGAAACACCCAAGTCTTCTGGCTATCCCTGAACTGAGAGTTTAGACCTTGAGCTTGCCATTTTTTTTAAGTCAGAGAAGCCAGCCTACTCCATAGTCCTTGTAGCTCTCATTCTCATGAAAAAGGTCTATCATGGAAGCCAGTGATGGTCAAAGTCTTGCTCTCAGTAAGCTGCATTCTACTATCAGACGTGATAATTCAAGAGCCTGTTTATCACTTTGTGCCAGAGACCACCAGTATCCCATTGTAACCAGATTATCACTGCCTTCAAACCCAATCAGGTCAGATGACTAATTCAAGGCTCCTATCCTTGAGGCTCCATTGCCTGCAACAATATCTGATACTGCACCTTGAATCAGTGATGATTCAGTATAGGCAACAGAAAACTCTGTAAGTATCTTAAGCATGAAGAAATTATGCACAGAGAGTTTTGGGCTTAAAGATTGGAGAGCTGGAGGAGCATAGGCTTGATTTCTGGAAATAATTCCCAGAATATCACAGAATTGACCCATCTGGGAAGATACATTTAATACAATCAAGCAAGTGGGTTGTTGGGATGAAGTCCCTGGAATAACTAGTTCAGTATTAGCCCACCATTTCTGTGCTCTGGAATCAGGTGGGTCATGTGCTACTGCTGTCTGTTGATAACCAGAATGCTGGTGACTAGGTACTGGGACAATGAGTGTGGCTTTTGCCATTTCAGCTGCACACACCCCTTCATACTTTTGACACTTTTTTTTTTTTTGTGGCAACAGTCAAAAGCAAAAGAAGTGTTCTCCTTCACTGTCATTTCTCTTACCTTGTGCAAGTGCATCTAATTATTAGAAATGATTTCATAGTTAGAATTCTAGCTGCAAGGGAGTCCAGAAAATGTATATAGAGCTTTGTATACTCTGCCATACTGGAAATTATACCAGAAAGAGAGTAAAATAGAGGTTAACTAATCTAGGACATGACCTCTACCACACAAACTCACAAGGCAATTCATGTTATTACTTCCTTTGTATAGGTAAGAAAATTGAGGCACAAAAGTTAAGTAATTTGCTCATAGTTGCATGGCTGGCAAATGACAGAATCAACACTAATAATGTCAGAGTCATAATAAAAGAAAACTCCTAAATTATGGCACATTTGCTGTGTATCAGCATGTGCTACATGCAGAGGATACAGAAAATAAGGCTAGGTACCTACCTTCAATTAGCTACAGTTTAGTGGGTATGGCGAAATGGAGAGAGCAGGTACAAAAATAAGTTAATTGGAGAAAATATATTAGTGTGTTTTCATATAGACTTAATGTAGAACTATTAGAGTTTCTGTAAACAAAATGGTCTCATTGCTCCCCAAGGCAGGCTGTGGCATGGTTATCAGATTTCAGATCCTTGACTAGGTGAACACTCTCAAGATCCTCTCAATAAACCTCTTTCTGTGTGTGGATCCTAAACCTTGACCTCTTTTTAGGATGAGAGCATCATTTAGCCCTGAGTTCTTTTTTTCCCACTTGGGAAAGTCTAATTTCCTAGAAGTATGACTACATCTGTAAATTGATAGACTTGGTTTATGTTTGTATTTTTTTGATGCAGTAGAGTTCTAAATCAACAAAGAAATGTGCTTAGTAATTTGAAAGAAACTTCTAATTAACTAGGTTGAAAGACCTGGTGGACAGCTAATTTAGTGTCATTTGTGGGGAGAGTATGCAAGAGTTCTCTTTTTCTCATTTCCTTGTTAATGAACATACCCTTCTGATTTGAGAAAATAAAGAAGAACAGATTCAGCCCTTTGAAGATGAAACTAAATCCCTCAACAATGCCAATTTCAATATAATGTCATAAATAGTGCATAGTCTCACATGTGCCATAGGGGCCTCAGAGCCATGGAAATTTTTCTAAAAGCAGGGACCTGTTTCTTGGAATGCAATTGTCTGCTCAGCATCTAGCCCAGGATGTCCTAGGGTAGGTGGGAAAGGATGGCATAAGCCTCTGGTCTGGAGCCTAGGGAATCATTGGATGAGCCTGTGCAGAGAGCAGCCTTGCCCTTCTCTGTTCCAGAGGGCTGAAAGCAGAGGTGATGGGCTCAATATTATACAGGAAAACAAAGATTGGACCCAGGAGAGAACTCTTTGTGGGAAATGAGTGAGATAGTCAATCAGATTTCCATAGGGAACCTGGAGGCCCTTTTGCTTTGGTTGCTTAAAAAAAAAAATACATATTCTGGAGGCTGCAAGGGTGGGCAGGGAAGCAAGCCAAAGACTTCTTGAAGTGTTTTCCACCTGAGGCATCCAGAAGAACCCCTAAACCACAAGACTTATAGTGGGTGGAGGGAGAGGTATAGGTAGAGAGGAAGGTCATGGTGATAGGACCTAAGCCCCCAGCTAGTTATGGAGGTATTATGGCAAGTGGATAGGATCAGAATTCTGGGGTAAGATGTGCAAACTTCAGCAAAGGGTCAGAGTGATGGGATTATTCCTTTCCTATGTCTCCTGGGTAGATGAGCTCTGCAAACTAGGCTTCCTAACTCAACATTCTCCTTCTTCAGGTGGACTCTCTGAAGGGTCTGATCCACAGTCCCTCAGTGCTAGTATGTGCCGGCTATGAGTCTTTCAAACCTCTGGCAATGGAAGATTCTAGAAGATATGGAATTGAAACTTTATCTGGGCAGACTCCAAGAAACAAAACTGGTGAGTTAGTTTTAGAGTTTCCCCAATTTTGTTTGCACTGGACAGTGGTTCAGTAGGACTAGGCAGATATCCCTTCCAGATAATTTTAAAAACCTGCCTTTTGGCTCCAATTTTTATGTATCCCAGTTGTTTTGGGTCATCCTTGCCTATTCTTCTTTTATACTGCCATCGATCTTAATTGGGTTGAAATTTGACTGGTGTGTGAGAGAGGGGAGTCTGGTATTTAAAGAGAACAGGGATTAGGAGATCTTAAACTCTGAGTTTCTAGGATCTAAAATAAGCTTTATTAAGGACAATGGTGGACATGACATTATGGAGGCAATGGACCATGGGTATTTGGCATCTGAATCTTTCATGACTCCCTTAGGCAACAATAGAAGCCAAATGGACTAAAACTAACAATGATCATTAATCCTCCATCTATTCATCAATCTGTACATCCAACTGATCCAACTATATGTATATCTCTCCAAAAAGCCTACTATGTGCCAGAGTATAAGTGTTGTTATTCAAAAACACATTATTTTAAAAGCATAATTAACAACTGCAGGTTGAAATTTTCAGCAAAATTATTGGAATGGAAATGTGCCAATTTGGTGAATAAACAAAATAATATCCTTTGTGAAATGCTGCTAAGAAGTGACAATAATGGTTTTGGTGATTACTGCATGCCAGGTGCTAGAGGTACAAAGACCTTTTATCCACAGAGCCCCCCTTTGGAGGAGCTCCCAATCTCATTACGTGCTTATGGAAGAGCAGAACTTGGCAAAACCTTCTGTCTAGAAGGACTCAAGTGGAAGGATCTGTTCTTTTGCTGGCCATAGGCTCAGCCTCCACTAGCCCTTTCCTCTTCCCAAGCAGGAGGAGATTAAATGAGAAAGCACTAAGGGCTTCATTATTACTTGGGATCACTTTTTCTTCCTTCAAGGGCTCCCTTTTCTTCTTTTTCATGACTAGAGTGCAGGCTGGACTATCAGGACTTGGTATTGTGTGTCCAGGTCCTTTCTTGCAATCATTTATCACCCCCAAAGCTTGATGAGTGTTAGGATGATAAATCACCACTAATAATTGCAAAGCATTTTGCAGTTTACAATCAGGCACCTATGCAGCATCTTATTGATTTTGCTTCCTGTGTTGGGGGTGGGCACGAGTCAGTTGGGCTGCTGCTCTGCCTGCCAACTCTGTTGTCTATTGAGAACATACTTTGTGCTAGCAACTCTGCAGAAAGTTTTATGTTCATTGCCCTGCATCATCAAAACAAACCTACCATTATTATTTTACAACTCAGTAAAGAGGCTCTGCCAAAAACTACACAGCAAGGAAGTGGCAGAGTTGAGACAGAATTCAGACTTAAAGTTCATCTCAAAGCTGGTTCCTAAATTACAGACTGGATAATCATTCTAGAATGGTTTGTCCTTACTTTGTGGTTTTGGGGGTGGCAGGATGTTTAGGTGATGAAAGGCTCATGATTAGCCTTTATTCTCCGATCCTGAAGCTCCCCCTAGTAGCTCACTATCTTTCCTCTTTTCTCATACTTTCATTGTGTGCCAGGAAGCTGGGGGCCAAAGGCCAAGCAGAGTGTGATCCACTCAAGGTCCAGGTCGGGCAGCCGGCCACAGCGGTTTTCCTTGCTATCAGAGAGGTCTGGTCTCAGCGACCCCCCAGTGTCCCTGCATCATGCTCAGATGGACCTCGCTCATGATGGACACCCTCAGGACATACCTGCCCAGCTTGGCCCATTGGTGGCCAGTGATGATGTTGAGAAAAAGATCCACATGAACGAAGATGGCAGCTTGTCTGTAGAGATGAAAGTCCGCTTCCACCTACTTGGTGAGGACGCACTCTTATGGTCCAGGAGGGTAGGGAGGGCCAGCGCCCTGACAGCAGCCAGTGAGGAGGTCCCTGTCCTGGGGGAGGTGGGTTCCCTCCGCTGTGTGTGGGAGGACCACCCTGGGGGCTCCTCAGAACCTAAGGCACAGGGACAGGGGCCCTGTGAGGCAGGATGTGAAGAAGCTTGTGGCCAAAGCCTGTGGCAGCCAGGGTCCAGGTATGAGATCTGGATGAACCCCCTGTACTCCACCCAAGGAGAGGGGATGGCCTCTCGGAGGAGATCCAGGCTGACTCAACACTCCCACTCCAGGAGACCCTGTAGCAAAGGGTTCACTAGAAAGAAAAGAAGCAGCAAGGACAGTGACAGTCCTGCCTCCAGCAACAGACCCCCCAAAGACTCCGAGTCAAACCCCTCCTGCTGCTCCAGGTCTCCAGAGGGCAGCGTGGGCAACTGTGACCTACATTCAGCCTCGGGGGCTGCCTCCCAGAGGGGAGCAGGGTGGGAAAGTGATGGCCCATCACGGACTAGGGAGGCCCCAGGTCGGCAGGGAGCAGGGCATGGCAGCAGGGAACACCACAGCTGCCTGAAGCCCCAGACCCGAGGCACGGTAGGTGCTCTTTCTGACTCCTCAGGGAGTGCTGGTTCTCACGAGGAGTCTAGTGAAAGGAGTGAACAGCACCAGGGCTGCCAGAGCAAGACAAGGGCCATGACTACCTCCCGAACAAAGGCCTTTCAGGGAGAAGGCCCCAGTCCTCCCACGGTGAGTCCCTTGTCTTTGAGGAATGAGGACTCCCAGGCAGAAGAGAATGGACAGGGTACCAGGAGCTCCCAGGCTGAGGGTAGGTCTGGGATGAGACTGCCCCTGACTCCAGGTCATTCTGGCTCTGGAGACACTGCAGAAGGATGTTCTCCACCTTCTGCCTGTGCCTCAGTCCCAGGCAAGAGAAGAATGAAGGGCAGAGCCAGTGCTCTGTCCTCACCCAGCATTTCTGGTCTCAGCCGAGGGGCTCAGATAGGCTGCCCCAGTCAACACCACACCCGAAGGCATACCCACTGCCCACCTGACTCACCCATGCCCAGGCAAATGCCGGGACCTCCCAGCAGAGGCAGGGTTTGCCCAAATGGCCCAGTGCCACCCCTTTCAGCAAACTCATCCAGTACCAGGAACCAGGACTCCCAGGATACAGGGTCGCCCTTCTCTGCCTCTCTTCATTCCCAGTATGCACAGGGGGTCAGCAGTGCGCTCATTACCCCTGTGAGCAATTCTGACTGCGCTTCCAATTTCTATTCCCCATACCCTCCCTCTGCTGAGGCTGAAGGGTACCCTGAGTTCAGGGCATGCTCATCAGCTCCCACACCTTCCAACACATCAGACTCTTTGAGCAACCAAGCTGATGGTCTAGACAAAAAGGCAGGGGGCAGCATTCCCAAACCTTCCTGGCCTTTAGTTCTGCCAGTTGGACAGCCCGACACAGGGATGCCAGGAGCCCATCAAGCCTGCAGCTGCTCATTGATCAGCACATGCCTGTTCCACAGGACCCCCAGTTGTAAGTCTCATGCCCTGCAGACCTCCCAGGCATTGGGAAGCCTGGGGCCCTTCTCTGAGGTCTCCTTGGCATGCAGCAGATACTGTCCCACTCCCCCAAGAACATGGCCTTTTGTCAATAAACACCCTTCATGTAGCAGCAGCCCCAGGGCTGACTGCAGGCCAGGTGGGGGAGAGCTGGGGGAGGGAATGCTTGATGCGTGGTGCCCCCGACCCCCTGGCTCTCAGTCAGGGGCTATGGGGAAAGCAGTCAAAGGCTTGAGAAGGGGCAGTTCCAGCTGTGGCCCCAGGTCTGGGAGAATATACCAGGGGAAGAAGGTTACTGGTAGAGGGGAAAGCCTAGAGGGGCAAGAGAAAGATGGCAGAATGGTGCTGGGTGCTCTGCCCCAAGCCTCACCAGACACCGTAGTCCATGAATGGCTGAGCAACATTCCAGAGGAGCCCATACCCATGAAATGTGAGATGGTGGGTGAGAGCACAGATGTGGCAGGGGATGACCCAGAAGGCCCCAAGGAGGACCCTGTGGACCGACATTCCCCAGAATGTCTAGGGGAGCCAACACAGGTCAGACAACTGTCACATGAAGGGGCCACCAGCGAGAAAGCAGAACCAGATGAAGCCTTACCAATAACTGGTGATGCTGATCTCAAGTCAGAAGAGGGTCTTCCTTGTAATGGAGTTTCAGAAGACCCCAGGGAAGCTGGAGCAAGCAAAGCCATGGCCGCAGACTGTCATGTGGGCCAGTGTGTGCTACCTCACAAGGTCTCTGCATCCATACAGATCATGAAGGTACTGATGGGCTCCAAGCAGGGCCGGCCCAGCAGCCTGCCTGAAGTGTCCAACACAGCGGGCAGGAGGCTCAGCCACTCTGCCCAGGGCCTTATCACCTGTCTTGCTGGGCTCCACTTCTTTGATGAAGATCTTGGGCCTCCCACTGGCAAAGTGAGGTTTATAGATTCTCCTCGGTACCAGGAGCTCCTGAGCACCTTCCAGGCCCTGTGGCCGGGATGTGACCTCAGGCGAGGTGAGCTGGACTTGGGGCTCTGGGAGCTTGGCTGGTGCCAGGCTCTGCCAGGCCTCAGGTCTGACATCATGACTGAGGACTTCACGCCGACATCCTCATCTGGTGTGGATGTCCACAGTGGTTCCGGAGGCTCAGGGGAGGGCAGTGGACCCTGTGCCATGGAATGTGCCCTGGTCCCTGAGAAGATAGCATTGCCCTTGAAAATCCCCTCCCAGAGGTCTGATTCTAGAAACTCGGAGAACCAAGAGGATCAAGGAAACCAACAGCTGAGTGGTTCCACAGCCTCTTCAAATTCCCAAGCATGGACTTGTGCCAGCAGAAAAGATGAGGCAGAGAGAAACAGCGGGGGGCAGGTTCTGGGACATAACCTGGACCAAGAGGTTGAAAATACAGCGCAAGATGAGGAGGCCCTGCTAGAGAAAGTTGGAGAAGAAAAAGAAATAGCAGCACTGCAAGGAGAGGGTGTCCAGGGATTCCCAGAAGAGGAAAGAGTCATGGGACAAGAACTGTCAGAGGCCAACTCTCAGGATGCGGAGGGAGCCCAGGAAGTTAAGAGTGGGCAGGAAGAGGAAGCAGGGGGAGACCCTGCCTCCACTCTACTTTGTCCTCCAGGGGAAAGAGAGAAACCCACAGAGCTCCCTAGGAGCCTCAGCGAGAGGGATCCGAATACCAGCGGTCCCCAAATGGAGCCTGGTTTGGAGAAGCTGCCCAAAGCAGCTGAGCCATGCCATGTGCAAACCCAGGCCAAGCACACCCAGGGGCCTGGGGAGAGGAGCTCTTCTCGGGCCCACAGAGTGCCTCTGGACCCTGATGTCCTCTGGGTGTCCAGGTTGCTGAGGAAGATGGAGAAGGCCTTCATGGCTCACCTTGCCAGCGCCACAGCTGAGCTCCGAGCCCGCTGGAGTCTGCAGAACGACCGCCTGCTGGACCAGATGGTAGCAGAGCTGCAGCAGGACCTGGACTGGCGGCTCCGAGAGAGCACTGAGAATGAGCTTCGGAAGATCCAGAACCGGGCAGGGGGGAAGACACCGGCCCGGGAAGCCCTCCGGTGGGAGCTGTCTCTGCAGACAGAGCAGCGCAGACGTCGCCTCCAGGGCTTGCGGCACCTCTCGGCCTTCTCTGGGCAGGCTAGAAGCCAGGGGCCCAGCTCCTTCCCCATGGAGGAGGATGCGTCCACCCTCAGTGGAACCCTGGGCACCTGGCTGGTTGGGGAGGCTGAGGGTGAAGAGTTTTGTCCCTGTGAGGCCTGCATGAGGAAGAAAGTGACCCCCATGTCCCCAAAGGACACAACAGGGGCACCCAGAGCACCCATCGAAAAGGCCTTCGACCTGCAGCATATTCTGCAGAAGAAAAGAGGGTGTGCTAGTGGGGAGGCTGCAAAGACATCCCTTAAGGAGGGAGGGATGGAGCCACTTCAGGTGGACCCCTTGGGGACAGGGACCATCCAGGAGTCCAAAGGAGGCCTGGAGCTGGGGTTAGGCCAGGACCCCGGGCCAGAGGAGCAGGATGAGGGTGAGAGCAGCCAGACCCTTGGCAAAGATGGAGACCACCAAGGGGAAGAGGAGGAGGCAACTGCTCAGAAGAGAGAAGGGATCACAGGTGCTGATCGAGGCAGTATCCCAGAGGGAGCAGGTGGGGAAGAGCAGGGCTCTGATGGAAAGGAAGAAAACACAGAAGAGGGCTCTGGGGCTGACACCAGTTTGGAAGGTGAAGCCTCAGGAAGAGATGACTCAAGTCCAGGAGGACAGGACGATGGTGTCAAAACTTCAGAGGCCTGGGAAGCTGAAGGAGAGGGGCAATCAGAGTCAGGGGGCGGAAACCAAGGGGAGAAAGAAGGTAGCCCAGAGGCTGGCTCCGGACAGGGTCAGCTGGGTGAGACTTCTGGAAACAGCAGCCCAGATCAAGAGGGAGAGCCAGCACTGCCCTCTACCCTAGGTGGAGACAGCCCCCACCAGAGGTCAGGTTGGAAAGCAGGTCTCACTTCCTCCAACATATCTTCTCTGGGAAACTGCTCTCAGCTCTCTCAGAAAGGCTCTGAAGAAAAGCCTTTGAGCAGAGACATGAAGAGCATCGAAGAGGAGTCCAAGGGGGTCCCTGGTTCAGAGAGAAAAGTCACAGGCATGTATCCAGAAATCTCCGCTTCTGAGCAAGAAGGAGCCCCCTCGGGCCCAAGGACTCCAGAGCAGGCAGCAGGTGAGCCTTCTGGCCTAGAAGTTGAGAAGGTAGTTAAAACTCCTACTTTCACAGAAATGAGGTTTAAAAACTTCACCACGGACAGGACAGATGACTTTGGCCAAGATGACTTAGATTTCTAGAGCTCCAGCTGCAAGGCGGTCATGAGTCTGTTTTTATTTACACTTATCTACACACCTGAGCGAGGCTTGGTCCCCTGAAGATGTACAAGCAGCTTGGAGAAAGATCAGGACTTGCCACAGGACATAGCCACACCACACTGTCCCTGGGTTCTAAATTCTGGAGCTTCCCAGGGCCCCACTGGGCAATCCCATGCTCAGCGTGAAGGAGGGTTATCTCAGATCTGCCCTGTTATCCCAGGTCAACTGGACCCCTCCATTTTCCTGCTGAACCCAAGAGGATGAAACTGACTGGAAATGTTCCGGGAGAGTTTTTGTTTGTGTGTTTGTTTTTTGCTCTCATTCTTTTCCCTATTGATCTCCAGTTATTTTTCTCCTTGGCCTCTCTTGGCATTCACCTCATTCCACTTTGAGGTGCTTTTTTTCTAGTCTTGAATAAATTTGGTGACTCTGCAGATGTGAATACTTGGAAGATACGGACAAATTCAGGGTCATTGGACAAAGTTTGTTCTCAGCCCCAAAGTCCAAGTGTACGTTGCTAATTCATATACATATTCATGAATATACATACTGGTAATGGAGAAAATTGGGAAAGGCAAAAAAAGCAGGAAGAAGGAAAAGTAGTCATCCATAATCCCATCACTCAGAAAAGACTAATGTAGCAGTTGCCTACAGTTCCTTCCCAATTTTTCCTAATGATTTGATGGTTGAACTCATACACTTCTTTTATTTTTCTTTAACAATGCAAGAATTTCCCCCAATTTATCTCAAAATCTTCACATAACTTTTTTTCATAAAACTATTTTTAATGCCTGAATAATTTATTATGCAAATATAAAACACTTTACTTAGCCATTTCCCTAATGTGGACCATTTAGATGGGTTTCATTATTTTGGTTTTGTTTTGTTTTGTTTTTTTTCCTTAACATTTCTCTGCCTCAACTGCAGATGATTTCCCTAGAATAGATTCCCAGGCTCAGAATTATTTCACCAAAAATATCAGCTTTTCCTAGGCTTTTGATATCGTGCTGCCAAATTGCTTTTCTAAAGGTCTGTACTAATTTACAACACCTGGCCCACCACGCATTCATCAGTATTTGGTATAACTGTTCAAAATGAGAAATCTTTTCCTATTTTATGGGCAAGAAATAGTACCTCATTTTAATGTGGTACTATTTTTGACATATTTAATTGCTAGTGAGATTAAAGAGTTTTCTATGTTTATTAAGAAGCTATTTGCGTATAAATTTTATATGTATGCCTTTTGCCCATTTTCAACTGAGAGCCTAGCTTTTTTTTTTTTTTTTTTGGATGAACTGATTTGCATGTGCCCTTTATAATTTTTTGTTAATATTCTGGTTATCATTTTTGAGATTAAAAAAAAATGCCCTTTCTCTGCATCCTTCCACATCAAGCCTTGACCAAGCCCTGTCTGAGTAGGGAGCTCCTGATGGGGCAGAATTTCTTTGACTGGTTTTCACCAGCATTCCTGTTCCTACATGACCATTCTGTGTATTTAGAATTATTAAAGTGGAAGTTGATGCTACAAGGACAGGTATTGCCTCCTGGTTGTTAAAATGTAAATACTACTAATAAAAAATAAGTAAAAATTTAAAATAGTAAAAAATTAAGAATAAGTGAATGTTGAATGTAAGCTGGATCCTCAAGCCTGCAGTCACCTACTGTTTCTAAGTGCTGGAGATGTTCTTAATAAAATTTGATGTGCTGTAAAGTTTTTTGTTGTAGGGTTTTCTTTCTTTCTTTCTTTTTTTTTTTTAGGATTTTATTTATTTAGTTATTTTAGAGAGTGGGGAGGGGCAGAGGGAGAGAGACAAGCAGACTCCACGCTGAGCATGGAGCCTGACTCAGGGCAGGATCCCAGGACCATGAGATCATGACCTGAGCCAAAATCAAGAACTGGATGCTTAATCAACTGAGCCATCTAGGCCCCCTGATGGAGGTGATTATTCAAAGTGTTTACATTAGAAATACACACACACACACACACACACACACACACACACACACACACTGGTGCCCTAGCCAGCAGCCCTCAGTGGAGGAGGTTGTATTGTGAGCTTTTTTAAAATACGGTGACATGCAGAGTTGTCCAGAACTTGTCACTGTTAGTTGACATGACATATACACCATGCACTTCTTCTGTGGCTTGAGGTCCCCAGTCATCCCTCTAATAAATATTCCAACATTTGTGTTTCCTAAGCTGACCTGCCCAAATGACAGAGACAGCCTTCCCTGGCACTTCATGAAAATGGTGTTGTCTGTCTCTGATCCTGAGAACACAACAGCTTGGGATTTGGAGTTGCATGACCTATAAGCTCAAGTCCCAGCACTAGCACCTCAGTTTCAACTGTGAAAGGACTGTTTTCCTCACTGTATTGTTGAAAAGTAGATGAGCTAACACATGAAGCTTCACTGTACTCACATTGGGAAAATAGAAATATTTTCATTAGCACTGCTATGTTTTCAATGTCTGTTATGTGTCAGTGACCATATTACAAGTACGTATACTCTTTTTTTTCTAAAGATTTTTATTTATTTATTTGATAGACAGAGATTACAAGTAGTCAGAGAGGTAGGCAGAGAGAGGAGGAAGCAGGCTTCCCGCTGAGCAGAGAGCCCGATGCGGGGCTCGATCCCAGGACCCTAAGACCATGACCTGAGCCAAAGGCAGAGGCTTTAACCCACTGAGCCACCCAGGCGCCCCTGTACGTATACTCTTCACATGTCTGTGAACGAGGCAAGTCCACACTGTCACCCTGTGTCACAAATGAAGCAACAGCAACAGAGAAGACATACATAAACTTCTCTGAACTCAGGCAGCTCCTTAGGGATAAAGCCAAGATTGAAACACAGATATTTCAGAGTCTAAGGTCCCTGTCCTTTCCCCACCATATCATATTTTCTTCATTTCGATTCAGGCCCCATAAATAAATTAATTAACTAAAGGTGATCAACACTTTGTTGAATGAACTTACTGCAAAATAGTTAAGACTTAGAAAAGTAAATTAGATAGGATCGGTTTGCTCAGCTGATTGCATTATGTCCTTAGTAATGATTTACTTACATACAGATATCGGGAGCTGGAGATAAGCTGGTTTCATAAAGCTATAAATTAAGCTGGAGAATTATCTTTCTGTGGGATTCTCCTTTTAGTTACAAACTCACCTCCCTTAAGCTCCCAAATATTTCTGCCCTTTATCTTTTAAAAGTCGTTGTTAATGGAAAACTCTGTTTTCTTCTGACTCGGAGACAGAGAATTCAGGGCCATCCGGGAAGGTGGAGCTCTTTGAGTCTCCTCCCCAGCCCCTCCTCACTGTGGTGATCATGCCGTGTAGCAGGGTTCAGGCCTCTGATATGTAGCATCTCGGGAAAGTGTTAGCATTCCTGTAGTCTTAACCCGAATCCCTGATTCCAAACCCGATTCATTTGTGACTCAAAGGGTTGTCAAAGTCCTTAAAATATTTCCAGCCAGGGATTTGTCCTTGAACTAAGTTGGAGAGAGAAGTGAACACTAGTGAAAGAAGCCAAGCTCTTCTCTCCATCCTGTTGTCTAGCCAGTGGGGATCAGAGGCTCTAGCTCGAAAGGACTGTCTTTCAGCAGCTGAGAACCAAAGACCCCCATGTCCAGAACTTGTGCCCAGAGATTCTGACTTTATTGTCTGATTTAGAGCCCCAGCACAGCTATGTTGTCAAGCTCTCAGACGTATCCAGTGTTCTCTTGAGCTGGCTCATCACTGACTTGGTCCAGCTTCTTTTCCCAGGTGAGAAGACAGACCCATCCTGAAAAAGGTAATTGCCTAAAGCACACAGTGAGATAAGTGGCCATGCTGATACCAGATACCATGTCTTACTTCAGACTCCTCCTTCCCAGAGCTTAAAGAGGCCCTGCTGAGGAGTGAGAAGAGCCGCAAACGCCCTGCCTTGTAACCAGACCTGTGCTCACCTCACCTGCATGCCCATCCACCTTCCTCTTCCCCTCAATTCCCCTGCATCTGAGTCTGTCCCTGAGACCTAGGCTTTATCTCTACAAGAGCCCTTCTCAGGTGTCCCAGGGTGGGGAGGGGGGCGGGTAGTAACCTGACCTTCATCTGTGAAGCTCTCCAGGCAGGTGCAGCTTTGAGGAGGACACATCCTGAAAGATTTCCAAACAAATCATAGGTCTGGGTTTCCACCTAGAGAACTTCATTCAAGTGGACAGTTCCACTCAGAAAACTCTGATTCAGTGTGTCTGAGGTGGGACTCAGGAATGTGAGTTTCTCACAAACCCCTGGAGGAAAGCCCACATACCTACCTCTCCCT